CACAATGTAAATTACAAAGTATGACTTGGTTTTCTTCCCCAAAGAGGGGAGATATACAATTATAAAGGCCAAGATCCGATATTGAGGGCTAAAGTAGAGGGCAAATGTTGTGAGGTTGATGAGGGCAGCAGGTGTACATATGTGCTTGACTCAATGGATGTATATATGGACTGTGATCAGAATTGTACGAGCCCTCAATAAAATAATTAAAAAAAAGAATAATGAGGGTAACAAATGTACAAATGTGCTTTATACAATTGATGTATGGGTGGATTGTGATGAGTTGTATGAGCCCCCAATAAAATGACTTAAAAAATAAATAAATAAAAATAAAGCTGGAACATGGAGTCATCAAACAAACAAACAAACAAATGCCAAGATCCACCTGAACAAATGACTATTGAATTCTTAAGAATGAAAAATGAAATTGAAAGGATAACAGCAAAAGAAAATGGGGGAAACAAAACTTTACAATTTACAATAATGAATTACAAACACAATAATTAGAAACTAAAAGGATAGAGTTCCTGCCTATGTTGGAAACCAATAAAAACCATCAATTTGGAAATTCATACACAAGTATGTAGAGAATGCACACACATCCTACTCAGTAGGAAATGTCCTCAGCTTCTTTAAAATTAAACATAGCCCTTTACACACAGACACACACACACAGACACACACACACACACACACACACACACACGTCAAGTGTGGTATAATTCAATACCAACTTGATGATGAGATTTCCCTCCACCATTGTGAATTAATTATGACTTAACTGAATTACAGGATAAGAACTACTACATTTAGAACACCTTTGGAATATCTTACCTACAGCATTGAATGTAGGATTGTTTAATGGATTATCCAGATCTAAGAAAGCATGGTGACCTAGTAAAAGACTCAGCTTTAGTATTAGGAAATGCTGGTTTGACATTGATACATGATTCACTCTCCGTATGCTGTGGACAAAACATTCTCTTACATTCAATGTCTTCGATTTTTAAAAATAATTTTTTTAATCATTTTATTAGGGGCTCATACAACTCTTATCACATCCATACAACTTTTATCACATCCATACATACATCAATTGTGTAAAGCGCATTTGTAAATTCATTGCCCTCATCATTCTCAAAACATTTCCTCTCCACTTAAGCCCC